TACTAGACGAGTCATCTTTTTTTTCTTATAAAACAACGTTTTTTGATGAATGACATTATATCTTATAAATCCTGTGAATTCGAAACACGTATCTATAAGAAAATCAAGATATTAAGTTTTGTCAATCTCTAGTAAGTGTCTTGTGATAATATTATTATGTAAATTTTTCAGGAACATGAATACTCAGAATTACTTAAATAAATTTGTGATTAAAAAGTAAACATAACAAAAAATAATGAAACATTTATTGTTGTCCTGCAGTGGACTGATAGTTAAGACACGGTTCCCAGCAGATCACCGAAGTCAAGCATCACTGGCTACGGTCAGTGTGCGGGTGGGTGACCACTTGGATCAGTCTGCGTAGGGACCGAGGGTGTGCGGTATNGGGCGAAGCCCACTAGTTCATTAAAATTGTTTCCACGTTGTCATCGCAATTTTAGATAATCACCGATTTTAGATAGGGGATTTCATTGAATACATGAATAATCTTGAGAAGTTACATCCGGATACGATAAATTCGGTAAGACCTCATGGATATAATTACTAGTGATAAAAATCCGTACGCAATTCGGTGAAAATATTTTTGTTACTGCTTAACTGGTATGCCAAAACATTCAAGATCCCTCCAACTCTCAAGTGGGGCATTTTCTTGCCCGATGAAGTGCGTGGCCTCACGGATAAAATCAAAGTTGCAATAGAAGTTTTTATGTATTGAAAGGTACAAAAATAACTTGCTACTTTTTTGTACCATTAAAGTAACGATGCTCCTTTTTAGCAGTATGCGAGGCAGTAGTTCGCAGGCGCAGGAAGTCTTTGGTACATTCGGATCATTTTCAAGCTCTTTATTTTCGGCTTCGGTTTCCAACTTGCCGTTATCACCAGCAGTTTACTTTGCTGATCTCGTTTTATGGTACAAATTTACAGACGATACTTCGCGACTTCTTACATTTGATATGGATTATTCACAAAACGCTTAGTTGGATTCAAAAGTCGTCTGAAGAGGCTTATGTCATTAATGCCCATTTAGTTGACATTAAGGTTAAGTTGCTTACTAGACGAGTCATCTTTTTTTTCTTATAAAGCAACGTTTTTTGATGAATGACATTATATCTTATAAATGCTGTGAATTCGAAACACGTATCTATAAGAAAATCAAGATATTAAGTTTTGTCAATCTCTAGCAAGTGCCTTGTGATAATATTATTATATAAATTTTTCAGGAACATGAATACTCAGAATTACTTAAATGCATTTGTGTTTAAAAAGTAAACATAACAAAAATTAATGAAACATTTATTGTTGTTCCACAGTGGACTGATAGTTAAGACACGGTTCCCAGCAGATCACCGAAGTCAAGCATCACTGGCTACGGTCAGTGTGCGGGTGGGTGATCACTTGGGTCAGTCTGCGTAGGGACCGAGGGTGTGCGGTATTGGTCCTCGTTAAACTGCTCGACTTCGCGTGCAGGTCGTCGGGCTACCGAAGAAGGGTCCGCCATTCCCTCTGTAGAGGATCAAAATTGTTATAGCATGTCTTCGGATCATCCTCAGGGATGTTTCCCTGACCGTCGCCAATAGCCCATTGGGAAGCTCTAGTGTGATGCAAATGCACCACTACTACTACTACATTTATTGTAATTTTAGAATGCGTTTTTCATTAAGCGGTATAGTCATGTTGAAGTTTTAAACTTTTTAGGTACAGCGTGCTTTTTTAAATTCAGCTGTAAAAATGTTTCATTTTTTCCCTTAAACCAGAAGTACTTTTTTTATAATGCATGTTTGTCGTACTCCGCAAATTGCTCTTTTGTGCGCAAATTGCTCTTTCCCGCAGTATTCTTGTCTTTTAAACTGAACAACTCTACGTACATGTCAGTATTTTCAATAAGTAAGCCCGTGTAGAAAACCAGGGCATTGCGCATGGTGGAAATCCCTGAGAGTAAATATTATCTTGAAATTGTGGATAGAGTAATGTTTCATTCCATATCTTCAATTCATTTATGCAAAATTTTAAGATGAAGTGCTGTTTTTGTTAGCATACCTATCTTTAAAATTTCGTTTCACTGGTTTTTGGCTTCTAACTTTTTATTTAACTTTTTTAAAGTCTTATATAGTTGTATTCTTATTTAACTACTCAGGTATTTTGACTTAAACTGTCATCTTAATTCATAGCCATATTTATTTCCTTGTTAATTTCTGTTTTAGTGTCATTATTATTGCTTACAATAATTCTTTAGTATTTAAACTGAGCAACTTTATAAAAAGTGTCCCTTTTAAATTCAGTTGTGATGAATCAGGTGTTGATCTTCTTACTGCCATGAAGGTTTTTTTTTTCTTCATTGAAAACTGAGTCATGATTTCTTAGCTGTATTCTTAGTCTTCAAAAAGTACGGTCGAATCGTACATGTAATATCTATATTAGCAAATTTGATATTACCCTGACTTGCATTTTGAAGTATACTTCTATATCATGACTATTTGATACATTAGTGCGAATGGCAGAAAAACATAGACATAGGCACAGACAGAAAAAATACACAGATTATAGAAATAAAAATATTAACTACTTATTTTCCCTCAACATCATCCTTGTCCATACTTTACTCAGGGACTGTTATCACTTAGTTAATCTACTCTATGCGTATAATACCGTTAAATTTCATCACCGTGTTTACACAATGAGTGGTGTTTTCAATATAAAAGTAAGCATGAAGCACTGGGAAGAAAACACTGGAATAAAATAAATATTTGGGGTTAGATAGAGGCTGTTAACCTACTGATTGTTATTCTATGAAGGACTTTCTTTAAATGATTTTGAATTTATTGAAACATATATGAGGATTAAGATATGGACGCAATTTTTTTATGCTAAATAAGAAGTTTATTTTCTTTGTTCTACTCTGTCAAATACAGTTTATATTTCTAAAAGTAATTAGTACTCTTTTAGGAAAAAATACAGTATGATAATAACTGTATCTTGATAGAAATCGCGTTGTTCTTGATTTTACATCATTGTCTAATATTTAGAACACACCATTGTCTAATATTTTATACGGATTCAGAATAGTTCTAAAAATTTTGAAAAAAAAAATGAACTGTTTCTGAACTTTGCACTATTCAATTTAATTGATTTTTTACCAATGCGGAAGCTGTTTTCATGCTAAAATGTAACAATGAATGTTCATGCATTCATTGTTACATTTTAACTTGCTAAGATAATATTAATACTGCACAATTAGCAATACACAGATGAGCCGAATAAGGTGAAGCAGCAAAACGAATATAAGTTTCCAAACCCAGTGTTATTGATCTTTCATCCAACTCAACCAATACTTACCCAGGCCTTAAAGTCAGTACATATCGTATGATAAGACACTGTTAATGCAGATTTTAACCATTTCTTCAGTCCAATATATACCGATTGTATAAATGGCACATAATATTAATGAGTAAATGAGTCCAAAACACAAATGCTAAATATCAAATTAAATGCATGTGTCGTTAAAAGATACATGAGTAAGAAATAAGAGGAGCACATTTGTTGTACCTTTCAGTTACGTGTCTCAATAATTCATGAGTGTAGAATGGATTCGCGTTCTACTTATACCTATAGAGTGATTTACTACTTTATAGTTTTGAATTTTAGAGATACAGTGTACATTTAAATGACAAAGATGGGGAAAAAAACTATTAAATTAGAGACACCGTTCTAGAATTTAGGCATAGTGGTAAAATTCGGAGTACTTTTTTACTTCTCCAATGCTCATTTCGGTAATTGATATCATTCATTGTAATATCATCATCTCATATCATCAATATTATCTTCCATTCAAAGTATTGTAAGTAATGGGTTATAACGTGCCACTTCACAAGAAGAAAAGGAAAATTGTAGTTAAGCAATTCTCACTGGCACAGATAGTTTTCTTTATATTCAATATATTTGATTAATTTATTTAGTTATTGTTTTGCAATTATTAAGCAGAAAATAAGGTTCTAATTACTGTCATTAAATTTTTTGCGATCAAAACTCTGTCAAAAGTAATGGACACAATAACACTTAAAGAAAGGGATATAAAATGTTTATTAAAAGTTGTAAGTAAATGTGAGAAAACAATTTTTTTGCCCTATTGCTAAATAATGTCTTTGCTGAAAACATTTAACAAGTTTTTAGAGTAACGAAAATTTGAATATAAATATTAAAAAGAAGTTTGAATATAAACTTAAATACGAATTTAAATTAACATGAACTTCGTTAAGTTACTTTCCGTTAAATTGAGTTACCATAAACTCTCGGTTATATGGCATACCCATTATTAGCAAAGAAAAATAATGGCGATTAAATTTTATCCTAATAGAATTTAGAGCTTAAACTGACCTGTTTGAACCACGTGTGCAGTATAATAATTAAAACGTTTTGAACTTTTTTAGCTCAAATCGTTCTTTTTTAAATTGTGGAGCAATAATCTGTTTATCACCAATCAAAAAAAAATTATTGTGTAGGAATCGTTGAGCTTGATGAGCAAAGTGAGCAGAAGGCTATGCCTTCAAATAACACACTAAATGTTTTTAGAGCTCAAATGGGCCTACGCACCCAGGATTTAGTTAATTCAGTTGGCATCAGTAAAATTAAAATTAATATACTTGAAGAACTGTATTACTTGAACTACTGATCACTGCGCTTGAACTACTGATTACAACACTTGAAGAATAACAATTAAATTTTCAAATGCATTAACAAGTGTCAGTGAATATTTTTTGACAAGCTATCTTCAATTTAAAAGGATATCGTATATATTTTCCCATGATTCCAAGAGTCTGCTACATAGTCTGCCTAGTAATGTTCACAAAGTCGTGTATTTTTGTATGTAATTTAAATATTTTTAAAAGTGTACATAATAAAGTGATGGTTTTCTAAAGCAATTGTCATTAATATTTTTGAGCAAAATGATGAAAACATAATATCTGGTAAAATCCTCATAAGAATATGTAAGTATCAGCACTTACCAGACGAAACGATGAGTGTCCAGCTATGAAGAGAGTTAAAATACTTAGGAGGAAGATATACCGCATCTTTCTGTAACTCTAATTTATATCTATGTGAAAATGAGAAAAATGATAATAATTAATGGGAAATGTTGGCATTATAGTTGAAAAATTGAAGGCTTTTACAAAACTAACAATAGTTTAAAATAAATGACTATCAGTATTTAAAGTATGTGGAAAGAAAGTTATAAAGATTTTTTTTTCTTCAGAAATTCCAGTTCGTATCAGTACATTGAATTAAATTCAGTAAAAAATAAACTTTAAGTATTGAAATGAAATGTGAAAAATGTTTACAGCGTACAAATTTAGTAGTAGCTTAAGAGATAAATAATTGCTTAAAATAAACTGCAGACTATTTGCTTCAGAATTTTTTTAACATATGCTGATATATTGAAAGAAGATTGTACACTGTGGAAAAAAATGTGGTCAAAAATACCATAGTATTGTAAAAGGTTCATTGCTTCTGGCTCTATGGAGAAACCAAAAATCTCGAAAATTTGCAGTAACAGTAGCGAAACAGTAGCTCCTTAGTAATGATTTCAGTACATTTAAAAATAAAAAATGGATTTAAAATATGTGAAAATATTCTGCAAATTCGGTAATTTTATCATAATACCATAAGAACCATTTTTCGGTAAAATCTGTATACATATATCTGTATACTATTGTATATATTTTTCTTCAATGTGTGTTAAAAAGAACTATACTCTTAAAAACCAGAATTTCTGGTAAACCATTACCATATGAACGGAAAAATTACCTAATGAATGGTTTAAATTCCGTATATTTCGGTTTTTTTAACCAGAAGAATGGAGTTCATTTAAAGGAAATGTCATTCCCGTACAGCAGACTTTTCCCATTACCAGATTTTTCTCCGAGTAATTTTCAGAAGATACTATCTTTTTTTATTTCAATTAATATATTTTAAGCCGTGATGGCTCAGAGGATAAAGTGTCTGCCTTACAATGCGATGAACCGGATTCGAGTCCCAGCGATGGCTGGTGGTTAAGAATTCCGCATCCTGCTTGCACCGACCACAGTGCTGACGTAAAATATCCTCAGTTGTGGACGGATCTTGGACTAGAGCTAACCATGGGAGGTTCTCGTGGTCTTCCTCTTCATGTAACGCAAATACAGGTTAGCTCCGTCTGAAAAGTCCTCCATGAAGGTAAATTTTCTCCCAATACTTAATCCGGAAATTCTCTTGTCTTCAGGATTGGGTTCAAAATTACAAGTCTACGGAGTTGAACATTAGTAGTCGTAAACCCAAAAATAGGGTCGGCTGTTCAATGACGGTAATAAAATTCATATATTTATTTAGAAATCAGAAAACAGATGAGAAAAGATTTATTTCTTAATTTTGAAATGAACTCTTATTTGTAAAAAGTGGAACAAATTTTAATATGCATGCCGAAATTTCGATATTGTCTGTGGATCCCAACAACCTATTCTATTTAAAATTTGAAATATCGTCCCATTAGGGTATTTTGTGCCTCCACATTTAATGAACTCATATATTTAGTTATGTTTTCTGACTTGTTTTCAGTTTCTTTATAGTAGTGTTTTTGTTATAGTCATAGAAAATCTAAGTGAAAACTTCAAATGAAAATTTTATATGCCTAAATGACACAGGGTTCTTCTCCCAGCAAACAGTTTTTAAATTTTTGTATTTTTAAATGTTAAAACACTGCATAAAAAGTGTTGGTGAAAATTTTTTAATTGATTAAATACATATGGAAATTACGTGCTGTATTATATTTAGGTTTCTAATGCAAATATTTTAATTTTGAAGAATCCGAAAGATAATCGAGTCTAAATGACAACTCATCAGGTGTAATATTTAATTAAATAATGTCTAAACCTTACTTATTAGAGTTAGACACTTAAATTTAGAGACTCACGCATTAAATTAAATTTTGTTGAGTTAAGAAATTGTTGGAGGTTTTTTGTTTCAATATCGATTAATTAAAAATGAACACTTTAATTTTTAATGCTATTCTACTCAAAAGTTTAGAAGCATAAAAACTTAAACATTAAAAAAAGGCTATAACCTAATACTTTATTATAGCAAAATTAAATTCCGTTCTTGTTAAAATAAACGTTCTTTCCTAATATTTTATGACACTGTTCTTTTAACATATAAAATTAAAATTACATTTGACAAAAGGGAATTACTGTAGACAGAAATTAAATCAATTTTATTGATTTTGGTAATCAAAATTGATATTTTTACGCGTTGGTGTGATATGGTAATATTATTTGATATGGTAATATTTAATAACATTTAATTAAAATTGTCGTACAAATCCTATTTTCATTTAATTTATTTACGTTTTTCAGCTAGAATTAAGTTTAAAGTTTAACCTGCTAAATATGTTTCTTAATTGAAAAAAAAAGGAAATGATTAAGAAATAAATTTGAATGTTTCATTGGTTAAGCAAGTTTAATTGGTTTCAAAAAAGCAAATCATTTAGGCATTCTAAGTTAAGTTGTATAGTTTCAGTATTTTGTTTAAAAAAATTATAAGCAAATTATCATATTTTAAAATATAATTAAAATACTTTTATGAAAGTACTTGAAAATTATTGTGTTACAGCAGTTAAAAGAATAAATTCAGAGATTTGAATGAATGCATAAAATAAGAAAAACTATATAGTAATAAATAGGAATGTAAATTTTCGTTTTTAATAAAATAATAAAACAAAAAAATAAAAAATTTTTTCTCACCTTCTTTCGACAGAAAAATGTACACTGAATTTTTGAAAAATATTTTTTTTAATATTTTTTTAAAAATATTTTAATAATAAATAATTTTGATTCGCATTTAAAGTATTTTTTCAACTGTTGTTTATTGATGAAATTTTTTCAGATAGTTTTTATTTTGATAAGTAGTTTTACAATATGTGTGAACTATGCAAAATTTTCAAGGTTTAACACATTAAATTATATGCAGATGATTTTCAAATACTAATAGATCCAAAATAAATTGGGGTAAAGTATTGAATATACATACCTTTTTCTGCAGTCTCTTTCAGAACTTCTTTTAGTTTTTGGAAAACTTCGTCGTATACTCAAGTGTTTGCCGTAGAAGAAATTCTTTATATTTACTCAATACTCGAACACAAAAAAAAGAAAAATATCATTTATTGGTGTCATAGGTATGTAGTAACTAAGCAACGCAATCTAAGTAAGCATCCAAGAAAAATTGAATAATCACGTAATATTTACTCTGTAACAAAACAAAATTTACATCCGGCAAGATATTTCTTCATTTTGTTTTACCTAGACACATTTTTGCTTATTAAATAATAGAAAGTGAAAGGCGTTAAACATATTTACATAAACTGAAATAGAAGTTATTTATTTCGGAAATGACTAAATAAAAAGTATGGGATGATGCATCTCAAATCCAAAACTACTGAGCAAGCTATTCGGTTTTCAAAACTTTGATAGTATTATTAAATTTTCAATAACATAATCTAAATGCACATAAAATTTTATATATAAATCCAGATCCTTAGTATTAATGTACAAATGTACAATAGATACGTCCTGATCTTTTGTAATTTCCCTGCGTTATTTGATGATAACATACAATACTAAAAATTTCTCGGAAAAATAGTGAAATAACAATTTTTTAAAAATGTTATTTTACCATATTAATGCAAAACAGTCAAATAATCATAAATAATAGGGTATTCAAACTATTAACTATGAGAAAAACCGCTTATTAACTGCTTTCACCAAATACTTTTAAATAACCAGAATTTTATCGCGCCAACTAAACCCATCTAATGAAGGCACTTAGTTCCTTGTGACTGCGTATATATTATAGCTGAAAGGACTAATCTGTTAGTCTCACGACTGTCAGAACTGGGATTCGTGTCCCAGAGTTTTTTTTTTTTTTTTTAGTTTCCAATGGGCTGCACAATCGGACCTGCTGATAAGCAGACCTAGTGGAGGTGGTATCCACTCTTTCAGGACTACCACAATGGGTGAGATACCGTTGGTCATGTTAATTTGGACGTCTAGTTTCTGCCACACTAGATGGCAGCACCGAGACTCTATTTGGATGCTAAGGTGCACTAGGAATTTAATTTTGCCGGAAATGCCAAGAGACAATGAGGCACTCCAGAGATCTTTTACATGCCGCATAATCATACGACATGGCCTCTGAGGATTTTTTGCATCCCATAAATCCAGTGTTTGGGCCGGGGATCGAGCCCACAGACTTGGGCTCAGAAGGCCGGCGAAAAACCAACTTCGCCACCCAGGCCTGAGTTTGGCACCATAATATTGTCTCCATCCCCTTCAACACATGAAGAGTTTCCACAGTCCTGCACTTCCCAATTTGTCTCCTGCTCTCTCCCATGTCCAGTCCCGCAGTGGACTGATCGTTAAGACACGGTTCCCAGCAGATCACCGAAGTCAAGCATCACTGGCTACGGTCAGTGTGTGGGTGGGTGACCACTTGGATCAGTCTACGTAGGGACCGAGGTTGTGCGGTATTAGTCCTCGTTAAGCTGTGCTACCGTAAAGTGCTCGACTTCGCGCGCAGGTCGTCGGGCTACCGAAGCGGGGGTGCCATCCCCTCCGCAGAGGATCAAAATTGTGATGGCATGTCTTCGGATCATCCTCCGGGATGTTTCCCAGACCGTCGCCAATAGCCCATTGTGCAGCTCTAGTGCGACGTAAATTAACAACAACAACTCTCTCATGTCCATTATCTAACAAATAGCCTAGCTCCTATGACAAGTTACAATTCTATTTTACAGTTTTGAAAACATGCTGGTTGTCAATGGAGGAAAACATATATAGTTTTGCACTCATTTTTCAACCATGTATCAATCATTCAAAACTATTCATGTTTTCAACCATGTTGAAAACATGTATAGTTTTGAAAACATGTATTTTGCTTTGTTTTATAACCATGCTAGTTTGCATGGCTTTATAACCATGGTTTTATAACCATGAAAAATGTTTTTTTTTTCTTGTTTTTTTTTACCATAAACTTTAAGATTAATTGGTTAAGATTAATTGGTAAGATAATCCATAATTTCAGAATGAAAATTCTAACTGTGTAGACTTCTATTATATACATGTAAAAACCTTGATAACATCTGAAATTTTTGAAATTTTATGAACTCTAAGGGTGGCATTAGAAATTTCATGATACCGAAATATCGGAACATCGAAAATCAAGTATAATTCAATTTATCGAATTTTTTCAAATTTTAAGTCAAACTAATAACTTTATTGTCAATTTAAGAGTTGTTTAACATACATATACACGCGGAAGCTGTTACTTAAAACAATGGCAGTATCACTGATTTTTCAGTTGATTTTAGGTTTAGGTATTTTGCTTCACAACTTTCCTGCTTTAATACAATTCTAGATACAATAACTTATTTTTAATATTTCTGATTCTTCCCAACTGTCTGAGTTTTTGATAACTACATCCTCATAGGTATTAATTTCTTTTGAATTCATTAAATTAGATAGTTTTTTGGAATTTTATATGTATTATTATTTCTACACGCATGTTCTTTAAGAATTAGTGAGTCAGGTAACTTTCTTTTAATCTGTCTGACAATCTCTTACTTATTGAGACAATATCTAACTAGATAGTTCAAATAGTAAAAAGATTTTGAATTCGTCAGAAAATATGGAAAAAATAATGTTAGGTTATCAAAATTATTTTGTGAAATTGATGTTCAACGAAAAGTATCGTGTGATGATATCGAAAAATCCGTGATATCAAAGTTTGAGCTATCAAAGTTCCAGGTTCGATTGTGCTATTATATATGGATATTTTCTGCTAACTTCACACTAGTTGGATACATGCACAAACCAATTGTATTCTAGCAAAACAATTTTACCAAAATAATGTATTTAATATTAAGGAATATATATTTTGCGTCACCATACGCATATTAAATTATGACTGAAAAAATCGAAAAACGGTTTGATCAATAATACTTTATTTATATTTTTAAACTATCATATATCATTATATTTGTTATTTTTTGATTTGCATTGTTTCTATAATTAAGATATTTGTATTCTATTTTTAGGACTTTTTGATTCAAGTTTAGAAGATCTTAGTAAGTAAGTAAAAATATGTTTCTGAATAATTACATTTTTGAATGAATAATTGAAGATTTCTATGCAACAATGAGGTTTGAAAAAATCTTGATGCATTAATTGTTGTTGAGATTAATATAAAAAATTTATAGTCAAAAATCAATAATTTAATGTAGTTTTCTTAGCACTATTTACTATACTTGTCAGGATTTATTTTGTGTTGCAAACTTATCCAGTCTATTGAAAATAACGCTTAAAACAAAAACATATACCCTTAGATATTGCATCATAAACTGAACTGTATTAACACCTTCTTCGTACTACTGCTTACGTAGTAGAGAAGTGGAGATACTTACAATTCACTTAAGTGAACTTTAAATTATCCAGGTTAGGAATATATTAAAAAAATTGAATAAAAACTTTTATTGTAGAGAGAAACTGACTGCAAATTTGAGATTAGTGATGCGAAAATATCAAATATCCGATCAGAAATGTCATACAACATAAAACGAAAAAAAAGTATTCCTCATGGTCATAGTCAATAAATGGATTCCTCAACTTCCTTTATAGAAAAATAAACCAACGTTTAATTGCTTTAATGTTTTTAACGCAGGGGTCTGTGGAAGTGCATCTCCAACCTCAGTTGCAGATCTTTTTCAATTTTTTTTAAACTTTACATAGATAAATTTCTTTTTGTTAAAAATATTTACAGTCAGAATCAAGAACTCCTTCAAAAATAAAATGTTGTTTTTATTAATATTTGCATTCATGTAATTTTTATCTTTAGTTTTGATCCGACTAAATAACATTCATTTCTGATCACAATATACATTTCAAAATCCGGATAGTATTCAAGTATAGTTTAAATAATATGATTAAATTGTTAACTGCCAGTTTGTTCCTTCTATATTGCGAACTTTTCTCGTTATTGTATTGAGCCTCTTGATTATTTAATTCCTATAATTTGTTACAGAATATTTTTTTTATGAATATGAGAAAATGTTATTTCTCATTGCATGATAGTTTATCAATGAATAAACTTGTGTTTATAGAAAGCATTCAGCTGATAGTGCAATATTCGAAGTTTATTTACTTAAATTTACTGAAAAAAAGGAAATAATTTTGAAACATTATTTTACTTATCGACACTTTTTTTTAAATATCCCTAGAAGCAATTTTAATCAATCCATATTGACCCAAATTGGCTCAATATGGATCCTGCATGAACATGCACCGGAGGACCAATATTGGGATGTTTAGATTGTTTAATATTGGGCTTTTATAGGGCCAATATCAGCCTTCTTGGGGCCAATATATGGCCTATATTGACTGAATAATGAATATAAAATATCGATGAATCTGAAAATTCTTTATAAGGACGGTATCGGTTGTAAAGTGACTGTAAAATATCGGGTTAATTGGACAATTTTATCTAGGGTCATTATCGGAAAAATAGCGGCTCCTTGAATCCTGATTGAGCAAAGATTTGAATATTGGCCCAATGAGTGCCCAAGTTATTTTGCTGTTAGGGATGGAGTATTAAATGTATAATGTAATCTTTGCACATTCAATTTCTAATTAGATAACTTAAAATTTTTATACTATAATTGAATTTCAATATTGTTGTAGGTATTCAAGCGTGCAAATGTAATCTTTACAGAAATTCAAATGGTTCTTTTGAAAGCGATCTTAGAAAACAAACATCACTAATGGGTTTTGTATTTTAAAGAATTATGAACCTCGCAATCCTCCATTAGTTCAGTGGTTTTCCCTTCTATTTTTGTTAACTGCAGTCAAATTCATGTTTTTAGATTTACCGTAATTTCTTATTACCAGCATACGTTTTCATTTGGTGCATTATAGTTTATTTCAGTTTATGCGCAGAGAGTGTAAGAGTATTGTAATTTTTAAACTAATTAATAATTACTTTCATTGGGCCTGATTTACAATTTCTAAAGGGAACAGTTGACATTTAGAAAAATAATTAAAAAAAAACTTTAAATATGCAAATATTGGATTTTGAGAATTAAAAGAATAGTATAGAACTGAAAAGAAAAATATTAAGTTTAGCTGTAATTTTAAACTTATTTTTTAATTTTTCTAAATATTTAATCACAGAATTTTACTAATGTGACCAGTATCCTGTTAAAATTCAAAATGATCGAATACAGATTACAAATTTCGGTTTTGAACGACCTGTTCATGGTAATGCTTTGAGTTGTAATTTGTCAAATGAACCATGGATTATGACTTAATTAGTTTATCAGGTGATTCCATCTATCGGAGAAATCGGAAATATTCGACTTTTTTGTGCTAAGCAGCTCAGTGAAGCTATCATTTAAGGGCAAATTTGAGTTTCGTATTCTAATAGCCTAGGACTAGGACTGGGCTATAAATCGATGTATCGAGACATATCGATTTAACGCATATATCGGCAAGACGATACAGGGACTTTCATTCAAGGCGATGCATCAGAAATCTGATTTAAGCCGTTGAGTAAAGACAACGAGCGCAAAACGATATAGCGATATAAGACACGCAAGGATATAAGATAACGATATAGCGATATAAGATTCATATCTTACGTTCCGATGTCGACTCGCGCTGTGGAAGACGATATTCGTTTCGTTATGTTGAAATGGCCTTGATTGGTGAGCTGTAGAATCAGAATCAGAGTTTTGAGAACACATATCGTTATATCGCATGTACCTTTTCGCACCTCTTAGCTTTTTTTTTTCCTTGTTGCGACTTTTCTTGTAGATTATTTTCAGTGGGACTAACTTCCTGATCGCCGATGTTACGTTGTTCTGAAGGCAATCTATTATTGAAAAGAATATATAAAGAAGAGTTTCTTCATTAATTAGATAAGTTTTTTTTTTAAAAAGAACTTCTTTTTATTTTTAAATGTGAAAATTATCGGCAATCTAATTTAGGCACCCATAAAGAATTGAATTTGTTAGGTTATTTTTTTTACTTTCTTTTAATTTATTAAAAACTTTTTGGATGAAACTTCTAATAATTTAATGAGTTTTTATTACTGATTTTAAATTTATAAATCTTGTTGTTTTTATTTTTAGAAATAAAGTTAAAACAAAATTTATTTTTGTCATTTGGATTTGGACATAAGTCAATCAACTTTGTTTATACAAAAAAATTTGAAAGGTTTGCGTATTTTATTCATTTTTTTAAATCATTTAGCACTTCGTTTTATTAGAGAGTATAATAATTTTTTTTAAAAAATATTCTTTTCATATTATTTGTTAATTAGCTAAATATATTATCGAATATCACAATTTTTTTATTTTTAAGAAATTAAATCTTACTTTGTTTTTCGTTCATAATTCGGTCATTATTTAATTTAATTTAATTATTTATCTGAAATGATAAGGTCCCGCAGTGGACTGATCGTTAAGACACGGTTCCCTGCAGATCACCGAAGTCAAGCATCACTGGCTGCGGTCAGTGTGCGGGTGAGTGACCACTTGGATCAGTCTGCGTAGGGACCGAGGGTGTGCGGTATTGGTCCTCGTTAAACTGTTCTACCGTAAAGTGCTCGACTTCGCGTGCAGGTCGTCGAGCTACCGAAGCGGGGGTGCCATCCCATCTGCAGAGGATCAAAATTGTGATGGCATGTCTTCGGATCATCCTCAGGGATGTTTCCCAGACCGTCGCCAATAGCCCATTGTGCAGCTCTAGTGTGACGTAAATGAACTATAATAGAACTATAATAACTGAAATGATAATAATAAAAAATAGTGTTTTAAAAGGGTTTTTTTTTTCTAAAATTTATTTAGCACTTTGTTTTAAACATACAAATAATTTTTAACGTTTCATTTAGAAATTGAACATTACGATCGAACTTAATAATTATGTAATTATTTATGCATAATAGTACAAGAAAATATTAATTTGTAAAAAGTTTTTAACACTTTGTTTCACGCGTATTATAAATTTCTAAACAAACATTTCAATAAATATTTTAAGTAAGATTTGTACATTGTAGTCAATTTATTTAATATCTTTCTTAAGCAAAACATATATATCTTCAAATTTATAAATTGATTTAAATCAATCTGAGTATGAAGTTTTTATAGAAATCTGACTTTCTGTGCCTTACAAGTAAATGAAATTCAAAAATACTATATCGCGATACATCGCTATATCGCGATGCAAAACTGACGATGCATCACGATATATAATTTCTAATATCGCCCAGTCCTACCTAGGACACTGGAAACCTTTGCAGTGTCGAAGGAAATAAAGAAACATAATGGTGTCAACGTTAGAATTCAAACCACCTTTCAGCCGACCGTAAGATTTACAGATTATCTCTCACTACAGTAGCATATACTCGGCTAAAGTTGTGGTTACTTAACCGTATTAGATCAAAACTGTCAATTATTTATTTTTCTCCCAGTTAACAGTTTGAATACCATCATTTTGGTGATTATTTGACTATTTTTGTTGAATATGTTAAAATCAAAAATAAATAAAGTGTTATTTAACCATTGATCCCAGAAACTTCTGACAGTGCACATACAAACGAAGAATTTTCCTCGAAGAATGTAGGGTAGTTTTTAAAACGCGAAGGTGTTAGAAGGTGTTGAATGTGCTCTTGCTATCTAAGGTAAAATTTACGAAAAAGATTATTAATTAACGAGGTTTAATCACTCGCAGTTATAATAAGTATTTAAATTTGTAAAAAGAAGTTGCTTTGTCTGCGGTGCTAATGCGAAAAAGATTGAAGAATATGTTGAAAACACAAGGGATATCGAGTACTATCAAAGCAGCGGCCAAAGTTCTGGCCAGAAGTTCATCTGAATTTCAATACGAGTAGCTGGGGAAGGTATGATTTCTGATGTTAATGCAAAAATAAATCGAGACCGAAAAAGTTTGGTGAGCAAGGTGACCAAGTTTCAAATATACATACCAGTCATTACCAGAGATTCTATGCTTTAATTTTTTTGCCCTCACTTTTAATTTGCACTCACTTTTTAATTTGTTGCCCATGTTTTATGAAATAA